CGACTTAATGGCCTTATTAAAGTACACAGGGACACTGTCGATAATGCTTCTCAAAGCAACGTTGTGTATCGCATTAATTGCGCTGACTGCGATGCTTCTTATACGGGACAGACGGGTAGATTTTTGGGAACTCGTATTAGGGAACATAAGCGAGTAAATCCGGGAGGACATTCTGGAGTGCAGATCCATTGTATGGATCACAATCACAAGTTTGATTTCGGGAGTGCCGCAATCCTCGACAAAGAACCGTTTTATACCAGACGCTTGGGTTCTGAAATGTTGCACATCGGTCTGCAACACAACGGTGTCAATTTACAAATAGACACTGATTTTCTAGGCGAATCATATCCATATCTCCCGCTAATAAATAAAATAAAGCGTCGTTCTAATGTTTAAGTAAATCCGACGAATTCTCTTGTTGCGACCGTGTGTTCGGCGATGTATATTTGTTTTTAATTATTATACGTTCGCGTGCTCTTGAGACCACGGCGTGCGCTCTGAACTCACATCCGTGGTTCAGATGCCAACGAACACATATCGTTCTCCACACAGGGAATATCTCAGAGACGTCTGAATGCGGTTCACGTAGCACGCAGTAAGTTATGCATAATTTCCATCTCTTATAATGGTCCTAATGGTTATTGCATTCGGTAGTTCTTTCGGGCCACAGTTTGCTGCTTTCGTCTCTCCCTCTTTGATTCCCGCTGTCAATTGCTGCGCGGGTGCTTACCGGACATACGCGCCGTAACATATACTTGCAGAGAGATATGAACGCGCACCTGACATCCTCAAAATGCGAATTATAATATCTGCGCTTGCGTTTCGCGTTAACCGATTGCAATATTATTGTATGCGTGCATATTTGATCTTGTTTTTAGCCCATTGCAATACCGCGTCGATGCGTACATTAACTTTTTATATGAGTCACTGAAGAGGGTCCGATTTAGGGCCGAAACGTTTGAAATTCAATGTTTTAATGTATTTACTAAGACTCAATTGTAAGATAAATATAATTTTCCGCATATTTGATCTTGCGTCGGCTCTCATAGCCCATTATCTCTTAACTTGTTAAATATTTATAATTTTTTAAAGTTATCTTTTAATCGATTTATCTTTTAAAACCGAGTCTAAGTTTGTAATATAAAGACTAATATCATAAAATTTATATTTATCAATGTAATTATTTCTCCGTCGAAAACGCTTTAGTGATACGAGGCAGATGTAGCTTAATTTCTATATGTAAGCTAATGTTACGTCTAATTCAGTACAGCTGACGTAACCCTCTTTCTTTCGACATCAATTTTATTACGTATCGTTACTTTTATTTCACGAGGTTCCAAAGCGCGCGAGCGCGCTCCCCCCAAAATTGAATAAATCTGAAAGTTATTAAAATAAGTATATGGCGAAATTGCGAGGAAATACTGCCACACATTAAATTTACATGGATTTGTTAAACAATATATACCACGTAAACATATATAAAGTTTCATATATTATATGATAGCTTTCATATAAGGTCATTAAAAAAAATTTATATCTTCTGAAGTTCTACTTATTATTACATAAATGCTAATTTAATTGTTGATTAATCACGCACTAATTACATATATTTCATCTTTGTCTTTTTAAAAATTTGTCATTTGTTTTTCGAGAGAAAATCGTATATTGCGACCACAATGCTCTAAATACCGAAAATGCCGCGATCGATGTAGGGATTGCCAGGGCGGGAGTTGTCTCAACCGGATACGGATACGATCGACGTATGCTAATAGGAAAAGCCGTTTGATTAAGATCAATAGAATCTTCCGGGTCGGCGTATTCCCACGCCCGCGCCGCGTTCTTGTTCTCGCAAGCCTTGGCACAAGGTTGCCCGCCCACGTGAGGATTCGGTTCGATTAATATTGAATCCCGAAGCGTAATCGATATTCGCTGCTGAATTCGAGAAGATAATGACGAGCAATTTGTGCAAAGGCAGATGAAGATACCCAACTTCGACATTACGGTAATTGATCAGCTATCTTGGATCCCTAACCGGGGTTCGCCACGTTTTGTCGCGCCGCGTTCAATATACCATTTGCGCATTATTAAAATTAATTAAGCGCGCCATTACATTGAAGAATTTACATCGCTGCACCGCGGCCGGCTAATGATGCAATACTGACGGTTTGCCCTAGCCGCGGCCGTTGCGCGTTGGGAGGGTAGTTGCCGTTTTACCTCGCCGGTCCCGGACACGTATCATCGTGTCACATTAATCTGCTGCTCGTGACACCGTACCGCGGCGAGATAAAAATGAAGAGGCGATGCCCGAAGGCGGGAAAGCTACGCGCAGCGTCTGGCCGCGTCGTAGAGTGTGTGTATGCGCTCGGGCAGCGCTCGTGTGTCTAATCCACTCGGACATCATTCGTCATCGTTTCCTCGCTCATACTCGCGCGACCGAAATATCTCGCGTCGCATCTCCTCGCAGACGCAACGGCATGGCACCTTCCGCCACTTACTTTCCCTCCGACGCGGACGCGGCGCGGCGACGCCGCGGGCGTAGTATAAAGACATCTGTCGTACTGTCGTATATGTAGTATTATACACCTGGATGACTCGCCGGTGCTCGAATACAAATGGTCCTCGATTTGCGCGTTTCCGAATATTAACGTGAAGGTAGGCCGGGAAAAGTGGAAAAAACTTTCTCTCGGTAAGGCCATTTGTAACTTTAGCACAAATTTCGCGAATATCTTCGAAACGCAGCGGCAGCAGTAACTCCACGAGATGCACAGCCTCTCGCGGGAACTCTCTCAATAAGCCGTAGAAAAAATAAACGCGTCCTGTGAAAGAAGCTAATTATGTGTTAGTAGGTTTTGAAAGAGAAACGCCACGTAGAGCGTATGTAACCGCGAAAAATGTGCGTTTCATCTTAAACAAATCGCGCGAAAGATGAAATCATTTAAGTCAAAGAGTGCGGATTAAATCCGCAAGCATGCCGACTCGAATCTCGCTGATGCGAATATTTGCGTGGCGGGGCATTACACCGAAAGAATGTAAAAGAGCATAGCGATCACGATTAAAGCTCAGAACACGGGAATGAGAGAATTACATCATGTACGCGGCGGCAAAGCGTTACAGGAACGAATTATTAACGTCGCAGCCATCGTGTACCGGGGAAAAGCGGGCAATCAGGATGCCATATATCAAAGCAGGTAAAGCGTATTCAGAGGTATTCATGCCTGGTATATCCAGGGAGTCCGTGCTCGGACCGAACAGAGCGGGCGTTTCAGCGTGCTTTCGCCGTTCGTAATACAGAAGCCAGGGACGCGCGGGCGAGCGCCTCGCTGCCGCGATAATTAACATATATTCGCATGTTCCTTAAGCATGACCGAAGGGGGGCACGACCGGCGAACTGCGAAGCCGTCGTCAGTTTCGTGAAGAGGTATTAGCATCACAAAGGAGAGCGAGAAACGATTTCTATAGCCGTAGAAGGTGCTATATACTGGCCAAACGCTATACAACGGATGCATTTCATGCGTGCCTGCCTGCCTGCCTGCCTGCCTGCGTGCGTGCTCGCTCGCTCGCGTGAATTCCTCGCCTCCACGCGCGATATATCAGGGCATCATGGAAATGCGAGCCTGTGTTTTTCCACTTTTCGAAATATCCTCCAACTTCCGCCATACATATGCGTATACGTGGTTTCAGTTTAGTTTCTACTATCTTCTCACATGGAGTCGATTTACGTAAGCCGATTTTAGGATTCTTCGATCAAAAAGGCGAAAATCTTTTCTTGACAGTTTCGCCGATTATTATTTTTTCCTCTCGCAAGACGTGTAATTTTAAAATGCAACAATATATAATTTTTACTAGAAAATATAAAATAATTTTATTTATTATTGCAATAATTATATCGTATTATTGAAATTTCGTTAAGTATCTGACGCTGCGTTTTTCCATATTCCCCACCGTATTGTTTTTAAATAGATATTTATACTTCAACAGAGACGATGAAGTATAATAAATGTTAAATAATGTATTAAATAATAATTGTTAAAGGCTGTGTCTGCCTTGTTTTTGTAATATCTGTTGTCTTTTCTAATTGTAACGACTAAATGACGAGATTGTAATGACCAAATGAAGAGAGTACCTGCGGATAAATAATGTTTACCTGGTATTTTAATTAAAATATACATTTGCGTTATATTTTCCATCGCTCTATCATTCATACACATGTTATTCGTGAAATTTAATCTGCAACAGCTTCATCCAAAATCGAGCTCCAATTTTGGGTTTCATGTGTTTTCCATATATATAAATAAGAGATCAAAGCAAAACGTTAAAAGGCTTAATTAGGTCACTATAAATAAACTAATTGCAGATACATCGCGTTTTATCTGCCAATGATGATTTATACAGTACTAAAACGCTAATTTAATTGCCGTAATTTAATAACGATAATATATTGTATTTCTCGTACTTCCGGAATAATGCAATATTCATTTTGTATATTATAGATAACATGGAAGAAGATATTCAAGTTGTACAATTGCGCAGATCGGCATAATCATTTATAGTTTCTTTTGCGGATTGTGCAACGTTTCACTTTCATATTTCTACGAAAGGAATCTAATAACCATGATCGTGATTGATACTAGATTAACTCTCATATGGTGATCACATCCGTATATTAACTTTACTCCGACAACAATCTTCATCGCTTTTAACTCTATCAGTTTACCAGTACATTATCGATTCATACGCGAAACCTTCGCATACTTCTCCGTCATCAGTTTTCTCATATGAGAAAATCTAAGATCATTGAGGAAAATTTTTATAACCAAGATGAAGCATGCACTATGCTTATCTATCTTCTTCACAATCAATCATCATCAAATTTTTGCCTTCATACGTTCCACGTAATCGCGAAAATGCGTGTAGGATGAAGGAGAGCCTTTTACTCCCATAGTATATAAATCATACAAGTGGCTTGTAGAATCAAAATTTTTTTAAATGTGTACACAATAATGTTTGTATTTTACCGCGCGATATCTTGTTCATACGAAATTTCCTTTGTTTCGCAGAGATTATGGAAAAGTGACAATACGGTGGAAGTGATTGGACCAGTGCGAGCGGTTCATCAATATGTCAACATGCCGGAACAGTCCGCGGAATTCTACAATGAGACAACGCGTATATTTGAGGAGGTAAATCCTCCTTGTCATCTAGTAATTCTGACAATGAGAGCAAATTCTCGACAAAGGAAGAATTTATTCGGTCTTCTTTCACAGGTGCACGGCTGCGTACCTGCGATGGGTTATAGCTTCGCAGCTGGTACAACCGACGGACCTGGCTCATTCGCCTTCGAGCAAGGAACAACGACTTCGAATCCCTTTTGGAACGCCGTACGAAACTTTTTGGCCGCCCCCACGGAAAACGATATTCGTTGCCAGAGCCCGAAACCTATTTTACTGGCCACCGGACGAGTGAGTCTACCTTTCAAACGCACTCTACTGCGCGATCTTGAATCTATATATATAACATTGTACAATTTATTTAATTTTGTCATTAGAATGCAATTAAGATGCGCGATTAATAGTATTTCATTGTGCGATAGATAAACATTAGATTTTTCCCATAGATACTACGTACGAAGAAATAAGATTCAATGTAAATTATCGCGTTTAGATAATTAATGAGTCGCGATTTGTATGGAATGAGAATGGAAATGTCAGTCCTACGCAGCGCGGTGTAAGGTAAATGTTCCAATGCCTGGACACGTAAAACCTATGTCTGGACACTTTTATCATTTTTTCTTAAATAAGTATAACGCGAATTAAAATCAAAAATAAAAATATTTTTCTCATATTATATTTTTATCTTTGATTTTAATTTGCGTTATAACTTATTTAAGGACTGAAATGATAAAAATGTCCAGACATAGGTACGTGGTTCAGGCATTGGTACACGGAGAATATTTTTCGTTAAATTTTGCTACAAACTTGGGACAACTTGGCAACCAAGGAATTTTTGAAATACACAAGATATTTTACGAACAACTTGGTAATAAAAATTACCAAGCAGATTGGTAATTTTTGAAAAATTATTGAAATTTTCTAGATATATTTTAGTAAAATTAATCAAACGTATTTTATATTTGAATAAAATAGGTATTAATATTTTTTATTATGGTAGATATTAATCAGAATAGCTCGCATAAAATTCTTCGTAGTATATGTTTTCCTACAACTACCTGATGATTTTCAGGGTAAAATCTAAGAGAAAATTCTCTCTGTGTAGGTACATTTACCTTAATTGAACGCTTTAATATTGTTACGTCTGCGGTGCACTGAATCGTCGTACGGTGATTCACAATTTCCAGATGAAACTCCCCTATCAATGGCAGCCGAAAATTGTCTCGACACAGGTCGCCGTAATCGGGAACGTTGTCATCGCCGGTGTGCCCGGTGAATTCACGACAATGTCCGGAAGAAGATTGCGAGAGGCTATCAAGAAAGTCATGAACGATGTATCCGTCGACGAAACGTCCGTAATAGTCGCAGGGCTCTGCAATACTTACAGCGATTACGTAACGACGCCCGAGGAGTATCAAGTAAACTGTTCATTCCTATATTGCCAAACACAAGCATTCACTCGAGGATCCGGACCACTTTGAAGACTGCCACGCGAAACGTGTCGAATTAGTTACGGCGCGATTTACAGCATATTATAAAATAAGCTGTTAACAAAATTTCTCATACAAGTCGGTCTGATAATTTTTTTGATAATTGAGATTAAATAGCATTGAAAATTGTTCAAATAAACTTGATCTGGCGATTCTCTTCACCCTCCGGGTTCATTTCTTTCACACGCATTTCGATATATAATGCATAATAGTCGCTGAATTATTAATTTTCAGATACAGAGATACGAAGGCGCATCGACGATTTATGGCCCGCATACACTCACGATATACTTGAAGCAATACCAGGAGCTGGTACAAGCGGCTGTTCAAGTGAGAAAATAAAACATAAACGTTCGCTATGCAAAATATGCAGAAATATTATCAATTCGGAATCGAGAAGGTCTTTCTTCGCCTACCTCAAGATGCGATCAATCTCACAGTGAAAATATTTCTCCGCTTAGTATAATCGGTTATAATTTTCGCAGAAGTTATACATTATTTATCTTTTACGTCATCGCAGAATTGCACTTAATGTGACGGAATTTATATCGAGGACGTATGCTATGTGTGTTATTTTATCCATTATTGCAGAATAAACCCGTTCCACCAGGACCACTTGCTCCGGAGTTGCTTCACAGTAACTTGATCAGTCTTGTACCTCCCGTGCTGTATGATACGCCGCGATGGGGACGTAACTTCGGGGATGTTATCCAACAGCCGCCAAAAGTCGCGTCGCCTGGTGACACGGTTACGGCGATCTTTGTAAGTATCTCCCTTGTGGTATCTCTGTCTATGCTTTATGACATTTAAGTTCATTCCGAGAAAATGCTTTAAAGAATTTTTTCCCGCGTAAAATCGTTATCCGTTTGCGAATAATAGAGCAATCGGCGCGGTTGCAAACTGTATCAGCGTCACACAGGGATATTACGCGAAATGCAACGTAATTGAATTCGGGTAGGTCGGGGGAGAGGGGTCACAAGCAGTTTGCGCAAAACACATGTAATTCCATTTTACATACATATAGCGGTGCCTGCTCGCTTTGCGAACCATTGAACGGTGGATACGCTACGAAATGGTCCGATTACTATACGACGCGTGCACATCGATTATCTGATGTAAACACCGCAATAATGAACCTTTAATGCGGCATAACACATTGCGAGTCGGACGGACTAACGCCATTAGCCAAGGCCGCCTGCTGCGACGACAGGAAACTTTGTGAATTTGCAGCAATATAAACTAAATCGTGGAACCTAGTCACGGCACACGATCGATTTTCCAAGTAAATTCCGTGTATTGTGTAGTTTTCATCTGTTACATGTTGTCAATGTTACATATTGTCAGAAAAATTAATCGTGTTGCGCACGTGTTAAATTTACTTTTTCTATATACCTACTAAAGAGAAAGGACGCGAAATTAACTGTTTATTGCAATTTTCATAAATATTCCTGTAATGGAATTTTCCGTGTAGCGGAAACGAAATTATTGCTGACACGATATTATGAACTTGACGTAAGACATCATCATGAAAATTCGAACAAAAGAATGCCTTACACATATTTTTTGGTTCGTTTACGTCCCCTTTCCTCCCCTCTGTTCTTCTTTTATTTGAAGGCTACAATGGTTTATAATGCTTATATAACATATGAGTAGATAATGTAAACGAATATGTTAAATAATTTTAATATTCTATTATTGTTTTATGAGATTCTGATCATAAATTAATCCTGCAGAATTGCGTATAATGTTAAATATAATTAGTCGGTTAATTATCAACAATAAATGATGACGCAGTAATTACTATAAAGGGCATGTATTATTAATTAAGTTATTGATTTTACGTTCCGTATAAATATTGGTTATCAAACATATTTGCTAAATTAATTAATTTGATACATATTTGCGTGAGAGATATTCATCGGGGTCCAGTTCGACTTATTATTGTCTATTCACGTTACCTGCAGAAATAAGAAGTTTTTCTTAATATTTATCGATTATTGCGATAAATATGCCTCAATAGTCTAATTAGTAAACATGCCCGTCGGATTGGATGGAAGTCTAAGTTTCAAAAACTGACTTGGGTAATATTTTTTGCTATAAATTCTTTACAGCGATTTAAAAAAGATGCTTGTTAGTATTAAAAGTTATCGATTAAATCGATTATTGACTTAAGTATATGAATTTACTGTTTCAAAACGAAGAACTGTATTTCAGGATACGAATAATACGTATCTAGTGTTCAACAAAAAAATCTACAGAAACGAGAATATCACAACAAATTCCTTTTAAAGATTGAAAGTCTTAACAACATACTTAATTTTGATTGCAATAAAACTTCTTCCACGTCACATCATATCGTGGTTATAACGTGCCAAAATACACTGAAAAATAACCCTTTTTTGCAACCTTCAATTGCACATTTCTCAAAAGTGTGAGCTAGAATACTTTGATAAACGAACTCGTATTCGGCGTTTAAAAAATTACGGGAAACGATTAATCTCGTTCTTGTGCTCGAAAGAGAGTAATTTTTTGTTGAACAGTATAATCGGTGCGCAGTGCTGATGGGCAGCGATCACATAAATTTTCTTCTAGAGCGGAAACGTGAAAAGTGAAAAATTTCTATCTCTCTCTATTCAACACCAATAAAAAGAGATAGTTACATGGAACTGGAAAAAGTACACAAAATTCACACAGAAATGTGAATTATTATCTATTAGTTTAATAAGATCCAGCCCGACCGACGATGGCACCTTCTCTATTTAATTGTTATTTAATTATACATCTTTATCTAAAATGTAATAAATTATGTAAAATTGACTTTATTTTTAATGTGCGGTTTTTTTCAAGGAATTTATCTGATACGCAGTGTCACTTTCGTTGATTCAGTAAATGAAGGCGAGAAATGATCGCCGCGTCGATCTTTTATGGGCGGAAATCGTCGTTCGATGTTAATCATGGCAGATCCGCGTTTTTATCGCGATTGAGTCACGCAATAAAAAGCAGCACCGACGTTTTCCCGCGCGCTCGCTCGCGTAACGCTCGGAAAATAGGTTGCCTTCGGTGACGCGGTGCGAACGGATTAAGTAATCATAAATTACCTTCTGGCTATAATTTCCGGCGGTGGAGGCGCGAGATGCATCGTGAAAGCACAGGTACAAATGAATCATAGTCCATAACTTACGCGAGGCCGGTTCAGAACGTTCTCCATTCTTGGCTCGTATTGATCGCTCGGGAAAAACTTTTCTCGCACGAACGGTTGCTTCCGGTATCAGCTGCTGCGGTAAATATGTAAAACACGTCGTGTTTGCAATTCCGTTTCAAGAAGAGCGTATTTTCAGGTGTAAACAGCCAGATTCTCGTTTATCTTCGAATAGATATAGATACCTACAGCGCTCCGCGCGCGTTCGATTACAGTTAAAGTCCAATAATAATGGATAAGGGGGGGGGGGGAAGAAAGATTTGCACAATTACGATATAATGGAACTGCTCATTTCTTCTGTTTCAGGTCGCCGGTCATCCTCGTAACAATTTAATGACTGACGGTACATTTTTGACCGTGGAGCGATTAGAGGATGACGAAGTTTGGGTACCAGTAGCCACGGATGCTGATTGGGAGACCAAGTACGTGTATCAAAATCTCAATATCGCGCAATCATCATGGATATATATTCGGCGTTAATTATGCAAGTGATGCACCAAATACGAAATTTGGAATACGGAACGCCATTCTCCTCCTTTTAGCCGTATCCTATTTTTATCTTTTAATAGCGTAATAAATCGCAATGGGATGTGTGCACTTTTAGATTTCAATGGAGGCGAACTTCTATGATACTGGGGTCGAGTCAGGTAACCATTACGTGGAAAATCCCGCAGGGCGTTAAACCGGGCGAATATCGCATCAGACATAATGGTTATTATCGCTATGTCCTTGGTGGCGTGTATCCTTACTACGGTGTCACCAATCATTTTCAGGTAAATCTCGATTGTAGCACATGCTACAAATACATTTATTTACTATTACGTATATGTATATGAGTTAAAGCCGACGTATTAAAGAACGAAATACATTGCATATTAGTTACAGTTCTGTATTTTTAATAAACACCGAGGAAAATATCTCAAATCTCATTGTTATATCGATCATTACGCTAAGTAATCGTATGCTAAATCTAATTATATTCGTTACTATGATTACAGATGAAAGTTCCTGCACTGAGTATTCGTCAACGTTATTATGGGTAACCACTTGATGCCTCTCTTGTCTTTCCTCGCGTGCTTTCTTAGTCGACAAGGAAATTATTACGCTTACTTTACAGTTAAATTGATTTTGTCGTAAAATTGATGTGCGTGTAAATAGATATTCTATTTGATTAAACAATGGCAAATGAATGAATGGTGTATGAATGAAATGACTAATTGAAAGATCACGTATGTTTATGTCAAGCTTGTATATAAAATAAATCGTATATTTTCCTTCTTTCCAAATAGATATATTCTTTCGTGTTTAATAGTGTTCCATGATATTGTTAAGATCCTTTTATTATAGTTTACAAGATTTGATTTACATATGTGATTAACTATACGGATTGGGTTCCCAATTCAGAAAATTAAAAAATTATAAAAACTTTGACAATACGTAGAGAATGTCTTGATATAATAAGCCATTTTTTGCTGCTTGAATTCAATCTGAAAGGATAAACTTAAAGCCTGGAAGTTGGCTTATTTTTCATTTTTGTTTTGTTATTCGCCAACAAAAAGAAATATTACCAAATTTTATGAAGAAAATTTATTTCTTTTAATGAGATTTACCGATTAGAAAACTTATTAATGATTTAAAAAGTAATAAAAAATGTATAAACAGAAGTAGGGGATTACATTTTCTTTAAAATACGACTTTGCAACTTTAATATTGCGCTGAAGATGATTAAAAAAAAGAAGGATCGAAACGTCCGCTAATTTATGTATTGACTAAGAATATAAAATATTGCGCACCAATTACTGCGCTTGGCTCTGCTCTTATTACTTATTCTTTTTTTACGTATTGATTTATTCAAGAGAGCCTTTATACGTTTTAACAAAGTTTTATAATTTCTTGAATTTCCGAGCAGGAGATCTTCTTTTATAAGACAAAATATTATTTCCATTATCGGCATTGTTTTCGAATTTGGTCAATAAATCCTATTATTGTAAAAAATATTGATTGTGGCAAATAAATCGTTATATTACATCATGTGACTAATTTTAATAAATAAAATTTTAGTTTGCTCCTCGAGATTTTATAGCACAAAAGTCTTGTAAAGCACAAGATTGTAAAAATTTAAGATATCTGAAAAAATTGTAGAAGCAACAGATTTAAAAGTTGCCTAAAAAATTACTACTCGTGTACTTTGTGAGATCTTTTAGAGACGACGTTTAGAAAGAGATGAGAAACTTAGAAATGACATCTCTCTCTTCCTCGTTTTTTTTGTTCTCGTAGAACTAAATGTTCCAAGCCTAAAAAAAAATCGAGTGTATTATTTCCATAAATTTTATTATTTAAAGTAATTTCATAAGTTTATTATAAACATTATAATCAGATTACATAAATATCATACAAGGTTTTCAATAAAGGAGGCTAATGAGAAAATATGTTCGTCTCATGGAGAAGAATCATAAATGCTGGAATTTACATGCGATCGTATATGCATTACAATTATATTGTATTATTCTGTTGCGTGGAGTTATATTACTGGCATAATTCTACATATTAATCCGGGAAAATTTCGTATCGGTAGGTACTGCTAGCTTTTGAGATATATTATATTCGTATTACATATCAGCGCATGCTTTACATATTCCCTTCATCATATCACATCGGCGACTGACGACATCCTGTAATCGATAGCGCAGATTGTGGATTTTTCCCAAGATATTTATATTTTAAAAGATATTTATACATTATAAGATATTTATTATTCTTTTCTTAACTAACGATATCTCTAACTTCAAAAAGAAGAAATGCATAATCGACATGCCGATTACTGGAATACAACGAAGTTTTTACAATTAAATCCAATCTGCATTAATTGGATGCTGCAAATAGCATATCCGCGGTGCCGTCTCTAATTACGACTACCAGATTTACATGTAATATGTCAAATTGGGAAAGTTATAGTTCATCGGACAGAGTACGGATACCGTATCAATTGGTCAGTCACGATATGTAGGGGAAACCGGGGCGGAGTCGTCACTACAATTATCTCGAAATCTGTATATATTATGTGAACTCGCCATTAATATTGTAAACACTACTTATGGTGCTCATGTGACCAACGGAATTTAGTGAGATTATATGCCATGTTGTGATTTTCATTAAGGCAAACGTGTTTTCGGAGGTCAAAAGTAAAATTTTTTGCGCGTCAAAAATTTTAAATATTTTAAATATTATTTTCTCTCTGAATCTTGAGATAAGGGATTCTAAAGAGTAATGCATGCTGAACACGAATCCAGTGACATTTTTTTATTTTCGTTAATTTCTAATATTTTATGAGCGATCAAACTTAAAATCTGTGTCCGGGGCAAAGTCGTCACCAAGCCATATCATGAAGGCTTCCGGCAAAAATCAAAGTCAAAGAAGCTGCAGTGGTCAAATTCCGGCGAGGACTTGGATAATATGTGCTGCGTGTGCTCAGAGATGACAGAATAGAACTGACGAGAAACAGTGCATTTCGTGCGAGTGTAGGGCACATAAGTGTTTGCGCTTTTCTTGTAATTATTTTCCATCGTGTTTTTAATTAATTTTTCCATTTTTCTATTAAAAAATGATGAATGAAATGTATCCTATCATTTTTCATGATCGGAATTTTAATTTAAAATTCAGCCCGAGAATGGAGTGACCGCCCCGGCAATTTTGACATTTTAATTTTTGCACCTTTGTCGTTTTCACTCTATACCAGTTGAACAAAGCGACGTAGACCAAAAATGTCCTTATAAACTTTGTAGCCAACGGTTCGCTCTTTACAACGGTATACCACATTTTACTAAAATTATTTGTTTTGTTGTTAAAAATCGGCACCAAAAAAATAGTGATGATTTCGCCCCGGTCTCCTTTACTTGCTAATGATTTTGTGTAACTTTTTGAGGGACTATACTCGACAATTTATTATTTACAACTGTGTGTTATTTATTATTCATTGCTACTCCGCGTAATTATACACAGTAATTTGTAGGCCAATTCTTATTTGTACGCCTATGTGAAGAAAGCAAAACGTTTCACATTATATCAAAGCAGTGAAATAGTAATGAAATTTTCTTGCAATCTCCGGTATTCTAATCCTACACGCAAATGTTGGAGGCGTGAAATGCGATATCGTCGAAATAATTCTCTATTGTACAAATGCATCGGTGCATTCTATAAATGTATCTTCTTGTGCTACATTCCAAATATAATATTCTTTTATATCGATTTGCATAAAAATGAAAAATATATGTTCGCGATATTTTTTAATGTAATATCTTTTTTATACAGAGATGTAATCGTACAGAAGAATAACATTTCTGAAACTTTTTTAAAAAATTAAAGTAATTTAAATAATTATGATTATTTTGATCAAATCTTGCTTACGTAACCAGATATAATAAATATGTTTATTATTCATCGCGTTCATGTTCCGCGGAATGCAATGCATTCGAAATAATCGTCTATTATTGGAGAAAATGATTTTTCTTTATGCGCTTCAGAGAGAGAAAGACGTGATTTCGAAAACGTTTCATCTACGACTTTAATTTCAGTTTCAATGAGTCGCTTGTAAAAGACGAATACTTTTATACTTTATCATTGCATTTAATATACAGATTTATACGAGGTCTTTCATTTTATTAATACTTTTATTATTAAAATTCCTTACGAAACTCGATTTACTCGATTTGTCTCTCTTTACCAGGTTTAATTTATATTCAGCGGCGTGACATTTAACATTAAACACTATCCGTTTGTAACGTAACGGGTTCTGATAATGAATGGACCCTATGTCACTCTCAAGATGGGATGTAACAAAGGGATAAGACGGTCGACCGCACGCTATATGGCTAAAATACATTAATTAAACGAGATAATATGTGGATTAGCTTCACAGTTTGTCCAAATAATTGACGCACAGTTCAAAGCCCAAGAATTGTTCATCCATACAACGCATGCATGCCGTGCACTATTACTCGATTTTGTCCTCAACAGGCTCAAGGGTATACTGACATAATGATATCTGACAAAAGTAATAATTTCGGTTATACGTCTTTATGAAGACGTTAAAGTTGAGACGGACAGTTGACACTTTAAAATATAGGAATCGCTGATAAATGAGAAGAAGAAGAAGGTAATTGGCTGCTGGCACAGAATCACAGTGGAAAGATAAAGATAAAGGAAGCGTAGTGAAAAACGCAGTGAATTGACAGAATCATGGGGCTGAGGTTTCAAATGCTATCTGATTGGCAAAGGGGTGGTCATGTTGCATTACGGACCTTACGATGTCCACGACGCTCTCTCCAAGGTCGCCACAAATTGTGAGAGTGGCGGCGAACGACATCGCACTCCAACCCTGTTTCGATAACGTTATAGCACCTCGAATACAGATCATTCCAGGCTAGGTGACACTATTATCGGAACAAGTTCGCACTCGCAGGATGATAATCTATTTCAACGCGTAATGACGTTCAGTAATCTGATTATTGCTCGCAAATTAATTTGATAGATAAGTAAATTGCACGCTAACACAAATGCTCCGCTTAATTTTGAGCGGACGATTTTGAGTTAGCTTCGATTGTTCGACGAAGAGCGCTTGGGAATATTAAAATAATCCGATACAACTTTATTTCGCTCGTACAACTAATATTTTATACATTGATTTCGCTTTTTGCGCGCGGTTTGATTCGAAGCTAGTTTATGCAGTTTCGACTTATGTAATGTCGAGATGAATGAGGCGCATGCGACACGTGTACGAAAGCGCATGCGGCACGTGGAACGGAAATACACGCGATTATGTATTGCTTCGCCAATGGCTCGTGATTGCCATCAGATAATTGCTTGTCATATTTGTGTTTATACCGGTGTTTATATCGGTTTTCTAAAAATTTGACTACTTAATTCAACTTTGATTAAGATAATGGACGATAAAACAATAGAGAGCATTTTCAGAAAAGACAATATTTTCAGATATTTTTGCATTCGCACTTTTTCTTTGCGTATAACGACTTTTTTCGCGCTGCTGTTTTACAGACATCTAAAAGCGTATACTAAAATAGAAGAAATAAATTGGAGTGGAGAATTTTCATCATATAATAACTCTGTATCAGAACTTAACGTCGTTAATTGCGTTTGGTTTGTAAACTACAAGATTTTCAAGAAAAGTCAATTAAGACGACTTATATTGATATAAGGCAATTTTATTTTATAAGAGATATTACTATTTTTATTATTTAAAATACCAGGAATTTCTGGTATTTGGTTCTACCATTGTATCGGATAAATTGTCAATACATTTCTGGACAATCTGCATCAATCAAGAAGTATACCATCGCAATATGAAAGTTTTTTTAAAAACACAGTTGCCCCTCAAACATGCAAGACGCATGGTAATAAAAACTAGAATATTGTATTTTTTTTTAATTTAAAATCTAAGATGTAGAATGCATTTGCATAAATTTTGTTTCTTCCAAAATGAAATCATAGAGATATAAATGCATAGCGCGATAAGGCGTTAAGGGCGACATTGGCAAACAGGAGGGAGATTGCCCTCTTTTCTCTTTCTCTTTCGCTCTCGTCGAGTCACTGAATAAATACATAAATATAATTTAGACTGAGTTGGGACGAAATAGCAAACTCGCACAACATTACGGCTGCGAATAAATGTGAAAATCGAACGTAGTTACTTGAGACGCAGAGGTACACGATTCGAAGACTTGGTTGTAAAAAAAAAGTGGGGTTTTTACCATCACTGCCATTCATGATTCGTCAAAGAAAAAGAATACGTAAAAACGGGAAAACCTCTGGTAAACTTGAGGCGTCGAGAGATATACATCGGCGCGCCAGCGCTGAATCTACCGGATAGACGGACGGCCGGCGTTCTTCGGCGCGTCGCGACGTCGGCAGTCGTGATTCGACCGGCGTCCGTAACGGCGGTGTTGCACTTTGCGCGAACGAACGCCCGAAGAAAAACAAACAGCGGGCAAGGCCGCGCGAGATTGTTTCCCGTGTAAGATCGCCACGTGCTCCAGATCTCCGGCATACATGAAGAAGCTAAATAAACAGCATCTCGTTATTTTAAAAATTAAAAGAGATAAATTCGAATTGGCATCCAATAAAAAGCCGTATCATTCGTATCGTCTTCGATTCACTTCGCGAGACATTTCGTGAGGCTCGTGATCTCAAACTCGTGTACATACGCTTCGGTAATAAAGTAAATGATAACAAATTATTATCGTCCCGAGCTTGAAACAAATTTCTACGGTAGATCGAAAATGTAGGAAGATTCGCAACCCCTCAGTACAAGAAGAAGATAACTACACGTAATTTCATTCGGCAACTTTTCGAGATTGAACTTCAAAATTAAGTGAAATAGACATCGAGTTTCTCTCGTTTCCATCTTCTATATCCAGAGAATTTAATTTATTCGTAGCAAAAAGGAAACGAAGAGAAACTTAAACAGATAAAGAAGAACTTAATGGTGCGTGCAGCAGATCAAAACTTGATTGTATGAAATCAAATTGACGACCGGAGTGAAAGAACGTTGCAATTTCCCTGCAAATTATCGGAAAAGAATCAATTGCCGAAAGTGCTGATCCAGAATGCCAAGGAGTAAAAGACTTTCCAATAAGTACGCGCGCATCAAGTGATCAAGACCGCGATGGCCCCGACGGTGTTGCCCATTCTGTCAAACGGCACGTACTTAAAAGCCATCTACGATGACATTCCGGAGTCGTCCTCGGAGCATTACTTCAATGATACGTACACGGACGTCCTGGGATCCACGGACCTCTCGCCCGGCTCGTATCGGGACTCTCTGTACGTGGTGATCCCGGTGACGATAATCTACGCGGCGATTTTCCTCACGGGCATCATCGGCAACGTTAGCACGTGCATCGTAATTGCGCGCAACAAGTCTATGCACACCGCCACGAACTATTATCTCTTTAGCCTGGCGGTGTCCGACCTGTTGCTGCTAGTGTCGGGCCTACCGGCGGAGATGTACCTGGTCTGGTGCAAGTACCCATACATTTTCGGTGAGGGTTTCTGCGTGCTGCGCGGCCTCGCCTCGGAAACGTCGACGAACGCGTCAGTCCTCACCATCGCCGCCTTCACTGTCGAGAGATACGTGGCGATTTGCCATCCGTTCCTCTCGCAGACCCTGTCGAATCTGTCCCGCGCGATCAAATTGATTCTGATAATATGGCTGGTGGCATTGTTGTTCGCGTTACCGCAAGCCCTGCAGTTCGGCGTGGTCCGGCACATCAAGCATCCCGACATGGTGATGTGCACGGTCAAGAGGATCATTGTCAGCCACTCGTTCGAGCTGTCCACATTCCTGTTCTTCGTGATACCGATGTGCCTGATCACGTTTCTCTACATACTGATCGGCCTCAAGCTCAGGAACTCGAACATGTCTGTGCCGGGCAGAAACGAGTCGATGAGAAACTGCAGACATTATCCCGGAAGATCGTCCAGGAGGGTGTTGAAGATGCTAGGTGAGGTGAGATGCGAGGCTCTCGCGCCATTTCCTCTCCGTCCGCGATGTGTTCAATCTCATCCCCTTTATTTATATTATAAACTTTGAGTGTCAAACTAGTTGAGATAAATAATTATGGGTAAATGGCCAGATCTCTCTTTAGAAACCGATTAATAATGTGAAGGACTCTTAATAGCGAATTTAAATAAATATACAAGAGTAAATTGCTTGTTAATATTTTACGTAAGAAAACGCAACATTGGGAATCGATTGTTTCATGAATCATTTTGTTTTTACGTGAACGATCCAGTAAACCGCAAATAATTATTACACTATTCCAGCCGCGACGCTGTAATGATCGCATGGATTGCTCTTATAAATGCGCATTATTATTTTATGATAAATGTGAAATGTCAATATGCTGTGATAATAACAGTTATTAAAATTGCGACTAATAAAAAATTAATAAATAAAAGCGCAAAATAATTTCTGCACGCGGAAGGTCGATTTATTCCTACCGGGCTACAGTACATAATAATAATTCTACATTTAAGAGAAAAACAATTCCAAAAGTTAATAAAAGTTACCAATTTATTAATCCTATGTTTATATGTTTGTGTGTGTATATATCTCGAGGTATATGAATTTTGTTTTATGCAGCGTGAAATACGTCGCTAAAAATTACATGAAAAAAGTGGTTTATGTGTCTGTTTTATTTAATATTTTAAATGTATCCCTTTTAACCACTGCAAAAAATTTTCGTTGAAAAGTATAGGTCAAACACTAAACTGTTTAGAATTGTTCGAGACTGCCATAAATATCGTGGAATTAATATTAAAACTTTGGCCTGGGGGCAAACTTGATTTCAACGCAACGCAATATGCAAAAGAAGATTATCATTCATGACACTATTAGAGAACACAACAATGCACTCGTTGTGCCCGCGCTGTTTTCACGACTTTGTGGAATTTCGTCAACATAAAAAAAAATGATATTGCTAATATAAGTTAATATATTCAGTTTTAAGTTCAATTTATTTATTTAGAAATTATTAGTCAAGATTTCCTGTTAAATTGTATAAGACTCATATTAAATTTTTATATATTATAAATTTATTTTTTCACTTTTGTTTTTATAGGTATTCTATTTTTATTAATTTTTGCATTTTGCGTTTTCAAGTAATTGCAACATTTCAAATTTTTATATTTTTTATAATATTACACAAATGGACCGATTATAAACGCAATTGTATTGCTGGAGAAAGTATTAATTAATAAATAATTATAATTATTATAATTGCATGTTTTGAAGATTAATTAGAATCAAGATCATCTTGAGGGATGAGAATATCAAGATTACAATAGCTACAGAGTTTTAAGCGATTAAAGTTAATTGTTAGCGAGTAGAGTTGGCTAATTCAAGGTCGTAATGCACGTGTAAACATAACGATCATTCTATTAATTTCCACAGTCTAGCTGATATTAATTTCCATTGCGCAACTAATTCTTGCTCTTACTTCGCTAGTTATTTAGCTAGTTTGATTTTTCTGTTGCACTACATTACAAGTAACAATTACAAATTAAAATGAGATTTAAATTAAATTTTTACTCATAAATCTTAATTACTTCTTAAAAGTTTGAGACTTTGAAAATCTAATTAAAATTGCGGGTGTTACTCTGGACACCGAACTTGAAGTGCGCAATGGAATGTCTACCAAGAAAATAGTACCTAAATAAAACGACACACGTTATTGCATAAATCAATCAATATATCAAATTTTTTCTTAATCTTTCTTAATATTTTTTCATGACTTTTTATGATTTTTACTTATAACTTTTATGTAGATATGTGTTAAAGTGTTATACAAAAAATAAGCGACCCCCATTTATGTAAATGTAAAATTAAAAAAAAATTATTATTTATATTTAGTTTTGAGTAAGAAATATGGAAATACTCTCTGCAAAATCTCGTTATAAAAATATATTTTGAAATTTAGAGGTAAAAAGTGCGGTAATTATATTCAGAATAGGGTCTTTTCTGAATTTTGGTTTTTTTTCGCGGCTCTCTTAGTAAACATCTTTGTTGTTACTTCAATAGTGATAATCAGTCGGAGGAGAATATGTAACGTACCTATTTTTTTCAGCACAAACAAGCTGAAAACCTATTTGTGCTGAATATATGTAGATATTCACATGTGCGTCACGTTAAAGCAGAAAATAGTTGGCATATTGAAAAGTATATGCAGGGTAGGTAGTCCAACAATGAACCAGTAGTACACTATGAACTATTGCGATGTTTCGCGATATTTTGCGATAAATGTGACGTTACCAGATTGTGCTGTTGTCATGCAACGACTCGTATGTAAACCCCTCTTCAACTCCCCAGTCGACCGGCAGATCACGCGAAGGACGGCCGTTTGAGACCACATTTTGTGAATTTTGGGTTGGGTGACAAACTAAGTTTTTTTTTGTAAGTTTTATGTATTTTTCATGTTGTTATATCTATTATTTTTTCCATTATTCTATTATCTTGCGTGTGTATTTGGCTTTATAATTCTGTAAGCAACTTATTTCTGTTGCATTATTTTACCGTATTATTTTGGAGATTATCGTAAAAAATGTTATATGGTCTTAAACCATTTTGTTTTTGATTAGTTATCTGTGTTATAAGTCTGATTAAACTGACTAGTTTCTACAATAAATAATAATCCAAGTGAGAAAAAATCTGATTAAAAATAATAATTTAAATTGTAAGTTGTAAATAATAAAAACGTAACATATATAATTAAGTTAGCTTTAATTTAAATTCATACTATACTAACCTTACTTATCATGTTTCATAATTATCTGTTTCCTAAAAAACCAATTTTAAAACATGATAAAACTATAACTCTAACAATTCACGGCATAAAACATATAGTTTATTGTTAAAAATGGTTAGGTTTATTGTATACACACCCCATTTGACATTGTTTTAAAAAAATTGAAATTGTGGCTAAACTTTAAAAATAACTTACGAGTTATCTTATACAGTAGTCAACTAAATTCATGAACTGTATGCAAAAACACAGATCTCCAACATAATTGAGAGAGATATAAGCCTTTGAAATTTACATGATTCATTGTTGGACTATAATACCTACCCTATACAATTTTATGTTTTTAGAAAACGTAAATATGGTTTTGGCCGTCGCTCGTTATTTATTAAAAAATTATTAACAAATGTAACCGACAATGAGAAGTATAACTGTTTGTGTCAATACTAATAAGGGCCGGTTATTCCAAGTTATTGGCAAACTAACTAATAGTTAAATCATATGTCTATCCTTGTTTTATTTAAAGGAAAAACAAAAAAGATTGCTGATAGGTATGTGTACTTTCAAGTAAAAGAAAATTGAACGCTCGCGTGGAAAGTTGAAGGTTACTTTAAAAAAAATAGATAAAAAATAAGGTAGATTACATATCGCGTCGCGTAAAAGAGTCACGGTCGGTCTCGCTCCGCGTGTACTTGGCGCGAGACACTGCCGTGTCTCTTGATTCTTTGGATTCCTCGATTGATTATTATTATTATTATTGTCGGAGTCACAACAAAGATTTTTATCCAGAGAGCCGCAAAAAAATATCAAAATTCAGAAAAGGCCCTATTCTGGGTAATTACCAAAAATGCAAACAAATTTATAAGGACTTTGTGAAAAAAAAAGTTTTTATTTACGACGTTTATGCATATATTTAGGAATGTTGTTTTGTGTGATATATTTCGAAGCAAGGTACACAGAAGCATATCGTACTTACGACACATAAACTTTGGTCTTCGAATACCTTTTTGGTCTTCGAATACCTTTTTCTGAACATACTACGCACTGGGCATATTCTTACTTGTTTCCCTTAGAGATGCCCGGAATTATGAAACTCGGCGACTCAAAGATACCCTTATATATAATAATTTGGAGCCTAAAAATAGGCTTCCCGTCCTCTAAAGGTTAATAAAATTACTCGCATAGTTATCAATCTCCTTCTATTTGTCAAACTGTCAACGCACAATTTCTACAACGAAAGTTGTTTACGGAAGTACACATCGGCAAAATCAGAATGGGCGTGTTACGATTTCCCATATCTTTCGAAGAAAAAAATTGATATAAAAGTCTTCATAACGACTAAAATTACTCATATTGCAATTAATTCTTTTCACATGTAAAAAAATAACTCTCCAAATATATGATTTTCGTAATGACAACTCGCGGTACGAAACAAACACGATATACGGTAAATTCAATTACCGTTATAAAAAAGAGGCAGCAATGCTAGCAATAAATTGAGATTTAGTTTGTCTCTTCTAATTATACATGTAAATTAATATTTGAACGAAATAGAATGCGCGAATACGATGCGAGATGTATATGACGAATATTTAACTTTGTTTTAATTTTTCAAGTTTTTAGTTTTGCGAAGTAGATTTATGATAACTAATATTAAGTTAATATATTAAGTTGCACTAAAAAAGGTATAATGCATTTATGTCAACCTTTAAAATTTTTTAATCAAAAATTAATTAATTCAACTAATGTTTAGTTAACTAACTAACATGTTTAGTTGCTCGGACTAAATATTTTTTGGGATTAACAGATTTTTTTCTCAGTGAAGTTATTCACTTTACGCGTTCTGAATTAATCTCTTAATTCAGCACGAATCAGCAAATCGATAGTATAAATTGTAGCACGTGCTGTTTACCCATGCATGACAAAAAGAGAGAGAATATGAAAAAAACGCATGGTTAATTGTTTCGTTATTGTTACGATTCGATAATTGTATTATACGTGGACAAACATTGTCCGAACTTATTTCGCAGAGCACGCAAATGCATCTGCATGTGTTATATATATTTACGGTATTGCATGTTGCGTTATTTCTCTGAGTAAACAGATCTGCCGGATAGTATATTACTGTATCGAATGTGCAAACTCTCTCTCGCGATGCAAGAGAGCTCGGTCGTGGTCGGTTATTTCTTCACGATCAATACTTC